ATGTACTTGTGCACTCTTGCTAACTGCTCTGAGGACTTTGGTCAAGCTGTGATAACATCTCCTCTGTGCTGCGTGGGAATTTTATTGCTATGCAATGCAGACAGGATCATTTGTTTCCTTGTCATCCATAATGGGATCCGCATTGCTTGTTAATTAGTCTCCTTTGCTGTATAAGGAAGATTCTGCACCATGTAAGACACTGTAAAATAACTTGCTATGTCAGACTTGCCATTCTGTTCTGCAGAGCTATGGAGTGTGATGCCAAGAGAACTGAAAGATTAGATTGGCCACAAAACCCCAATAAACAATTCTGTGCGGGGGTCCGGTGTTGATTGGCAGCTACTTTGACTTTGGGTGGATTTTGACCAGTAACTGTGACCCATTGGAAGGTAATGCTAACCGGTCCTTCTAAATTACCTGTTTAACTGTCTGGGGCTTGGGACTTTTGTTTTTTTATGTCCTTTCTAGGTAAAAACAGCAAGAGGCCATTTTAAAGAGCACAATTTTCATTAGTCTGCCGCTATTGAGTGCAGACAATGCACCTGATAAAGGAATAACGTCATGTTAAAAGACAAGATGATGAAAAGCATTTCATAGAAAAATCTTACTCAAACCAAACCTGCCCCATGTTGTTGTCCATTGCCATTTCTGGTGGTACAGCCACACAAATGTGAGTAAGGCAAAAAGTCTATTTGCCAAGTATGGATTTTTTTTTATTTACTTATTTTTTTTGCATGACTAGTGTGATCTGTAGAATATCTGCAGCCTGTGGGAGATTTGAAATTGGAATCTCTTTATGCCATCCACGTGTAACTCTCCTTTAAAGTGCTATGCACACTTGATTACCTAATCCTCATTTCCTTAACAGAGTGCTGGCCTCCAAGGTCCATGACATGAGACCAGATCAGCTGGCCAGTATTACCTTCTTGAGGGAGCCTCTCCATTTTCTACTTTTATTATTCGTACTCCATGTTTATTACTGTAGTGCCTACGGAGTGGCCAAGAATGGAGCCTTGTCATGCAAGGCCCTCTACAAACAATAGTAAATGGCCCTGAAGAACTTGCAATCTAAATAGACAAGACAGACACAGGGTGGGAGAAGGGGTAGAGCACACAGGCAGAGTGAACTATGTGATAGCAGCCACTGTCCTGCTAGTTCCACAATGGTATTGATTTTTGGGGGTAGGTTTCAGTTAGGAGGGAATCAACTAAAAGGAAAGAAAGGGGAAGACAGAGGGGACACTGAAGGGGTGAGGGGGACAGGGCAGGTGTTGAGGGAACAAAAGGTAAAAAGACTGTGAAAGAGAGAGGGATGGAGCAAACAGCCAATCAGCACAGGGCAGAGAGAGTTCTGTCAAAACCGTAGAACATTCTCTGAATGTCTGAAGGTTCCTGCTTTAGCTGCTTCTGCAGCTGCTCCTACCTGCTGGTGTCTCGGAGTGGCTCATCCTTGCAATTTTTCTCCAAGGCCACATGGCCTCATTTCCCACAGAGGATCCCTGAAGGAGGGTTTTCTATGCACAAGATCCTCTCAGGTGGATATTTCCATGACGGAGGAGAGGGGAGGGAGTGATCAATGCTACTGAAAATTACCTCTGTTGTTTGAAATCCTGATCATCTGATCTAAGGGCCTGATCCTGCAAACATGCACACATACCTACCCTTATTCACATGAGCAGCTCCATTGACTTCTATGCCCCCAGTGACAGTCAGATACTAGACGATGTATTTGCAATGTTTCGTGCCCAAGAACTGCTTGCCAGATCCTCAGATGGTATAGTTACAAGCCCACTGACTACAAAGGAGCTGTGACAATTCACATCTTCTGAGGTGCGGCCCCTGGAGGTTTTCTAATCGGGGTTGTATATGTAGGCGTAGTGAATACACACACCTTACGGCATCAGGAAGCGCTCTCTTCACTGTGGTCAATAGCCATAGCGAGACCCTAACACCAAATCACATGTCAGAAGCACTTTGTGTTCTGAACGAGTCTGTAGCACAAGTGATGTCAACGTGTGTCTGCTAATATTGACAGATGGCCAAGGAAAATACTGGATTTGTGCATGAAATTGTATCATTTTTCAGCTGTGCTTTAGTGGCTTAAAAGGTTTGAATTGCATATTCGTATTAGGGGAAAGGCTTGCTCATTTTTACCTTCTTTCCTGCCCTTCCCTGCGGTTTCCTCTTTTAAAATAATATCATTAGAACAACTTTTTCTTTTCAGTTTCACAGCTGCTTTCCTATAATCAGCAACGTGCCTCCCTCATTGTCCTATCACCTGCAAACTCCCATCTCCTGCATCCCCTTGCAGTGACTCGGAGCTGCCCCAACTCATATTCCAGATCTCACCTCACCCTTAGCCCAAAATGGTTATTTATAAACCTGGTTGAAATGTTTCACAGCAGATGTTTCTTTGTTCCAGAATGGTCTTTTTTCTCAAAAGTGAAACTTCTCATGAAAAATCACTGTCACTGAAACATTCTGGTTCTCCTGCCCTCCCCCAAATTTTCCATAATGCTTTTAATTTTATAGAACTTTTAAAAATAATTATTGAGATTTTTCCACTTACTAAAAGCCTGGTAAGAAAATGTGCATTTTGATATACAAGAAACTCTGACAACCACATTGAGAAATACCACGAAAGGTGGAGCTGCTTCAGACCCAACATAACTGAAACCACTTCAAGATCTTAAACTTTTTTGCAAAATGGTTTTCCTGTTTTTCAAACAGTTCTAGTTATTGATCCCTCCTGGAGCTCCCACATTGTACTGTGTCAGGGTGTAAACTTGCTCTGTCGCTTTAAAAGGTGCAGCATAAGGCCATGCAGCTCCACCAGCTGGTGTGTGTGAGGGGTGACCCTGGCTCTGCCTGCTATCCCCGCCCTTTTAGACAAGCTGCTCGGAGGGGGAGTGGGGAAGCAACTTGATAGCAGCCCCTGTGCTTCCCCCCATATTCAGGAGCTGCACTTCTGGCTGGCAACACATGACCCATGCGAGTGGGGAAGGAAGTTTACTCTCTCTCTTTACCCTGTGTGGCCATAGAGGACGGGCTTTTCCAAAGTCCCCAGAGCCCAGATCCTCAGTGAGTTAGGCACACAAGTACCTTAGAGGATCTGGACCTGAGTGATGTAGGAGCACAAGTCCCATAGATTTTCTGTGGGATTTGTGCTACTAAGTCACTTAAGCATTCTTGCAAATCCCACTCAGAAAGGCTAGCCTCAATCTAGCCCACCAGGGTATGCCTACACTGCAATAACCCAGCGGCGTGTCCAGGGCTGGCCTGGGTCAGCTGACTCGGACTCACGGGGCTCAGGCTGGAGCCTGGGCTCTGAGACTCCCTCGGGGGGGGAGAGGTCTCCGGACCCAGGCTCCAGCCCAAGCCCGAACATCTATATTGCTATTTTTAGCCCTGCAAGCCTGAGTCACCTGACCGGGGCTCTGAGACTTGGTGCCACTGGTTACTGCCCTGTTATTTGTACGAAGCCTTGCTAATACTCACATTGCTAACCTGCCACTCTAGTTATTTTCACAACAGCCCTGTCATCTCAACCTATTATTTTAACAAGATCTAAAGAGCTGTAATGAGGCTTCCCGCACTTAAGAAACCACTGCTCATTCAAAAGAGGCAATACCTTCACTAGTGCACCACCAAGTACCGGCATAAATAATTTAAACCAAACAGCACTTGTCACAGTCAAAGAAGAAAGTACGTTCTGTGAGGCAGTTTCCTTGATTTATTCAGATCTTCACAATGCATTTGTTCCCTTACTCTCTGCTTCGCAAAATGTGTTAATATGCGAAGAATCTCCTAGTCATGGACTACATCCACCCTGATTGAATTGGCCCTGCCAACACTGGTTCTCCACTTATGAGGTAACTCCCTTCTCTTCATGTGTAAGTATAATAATGCCTGCATCTGTAATTTTCACTCCATGCATCTGAAGAAGTGGATATTTTACCCACGAAAGCTTATGCCCCAAATAAATCTGTTAGTCTGAAAGGTGCCACCGGACTCCTTGTTGTTCTAGTCATGAAAGGGGAATTGAGAAGGTTTAACTGTATTTCTTTGCACAGGAACCATTTTCCAGTTGCACTAAAACCTTTCAGGATATTTGTGGTACTGAGAGCTCACCACTTCTGAGGTAGTCCCCAGTCATTGGCCCCAGCCCCCTGCTCATAAAAATAGAGCTAAGACAGGACAGTACATTACCAGCATGGAGTCCTTTGATTCAGAGCGTACACTTAGCACTTTGAGAGCAGCTTACCATTTACATGGACTCTCGCAGAGCCGAAAGGCTCTATATTGTCTAGGCGGTTTTCATTCATCTCTTGCTAGTGTCGTTCTAATCTGAAAAGTGACTGTATGCGGGGGTTCCGGGTTCATGTGTCTCAATGGCTTCATGGGAAGCTTGCTCAGTTTTATACATAAAGGGGCAGCAAGTTTAACTGGACTGCCTTGTATGCTCCCCGGCTCTGGAAAACAAGCTGGGATCTTTCTGGCTTGAGCTTCATCACAGGTTCTTGCCCAAGATAAAGCAGCATTTTGAACAGCCTGAAGGGGAGTTTCCTTAGAACTTGCTTCTCAGACTGTGCTGACAGCAGCACCAGGATGCAGCCGTCAAATCTGTTGCCATAGACTCTAGAAATGGTGGGTGAAATCCTGGCTCTGCTAAAGTCAATGGCAAATCATTGACTTCAACAGCGTCAGGATTTTTCCCTTTCATTGCAAAATCCGTTTAATTCTTTGCATGTGAAATGCACCCCAGAAGCCTCATGTTTGCACCCTGTGAGAGGGATGGACGTGGGGGTTCTAGGGAATCCCCACACTCTGCATGTTGCAGGGGGGATGCTCTTCGATCCACAGAGCTGCTGACCCTAGATCCTGGAGAGGAAAGGTGCTGCAGTTGTAGAAGCTACTGAAGACTATAGGCTGGATTGCTAGCTAAGGGGGAGTGGGGAGGGGAGGAAACTGTCCTGTGACCCCATGCTGTACCTATAGGTTGAAGGATGGATTTCACCCTCTTCACTCCTGTAGACTTTGCCTGCAGAAAGCCTGACTACTCAGACTTTGTGGGTGAAGTGAATTTCTGTGCCTATATGAAATGACTGAATGCTTTAAAAAAGGTGTCATAAGAGCTAGGTATTATTAATGTCAGCAGCCACTGGGCTCATAAACAATCCTGTAGTAAAAGATCAAAGAGATCCATCTGCTGGCCCCATCTGAGTGAAGGTTCTGTCAGCATTCCCATTACACAATCACTTTTTCAGATACTTAGGAACATAAGAACGGCTATACTGGGTCAGATCAATGGTCCATCCAGAGTAGCAGTCTCTGACAATGGCCAGTACCAGATCTTCAGGGGGAGTGTACAGAACAGGGCAGTTGGATGGATCCACCCCATCTTCCTCTTCTGGCAGTCAGAGGTTTAGGTACACCCCAAGCATGGGGTTACATCCCTAACCATGTTGGCTAATAGTCATTGATGGATCTATTCTCCATGAAATGACCTAGTTGTTTTTTGAACCCAGTTATACTTCTAGCCATCACCTCAGCCCATGGCCCTGAGTGCCACAGGTTAATTATGCATTGTGTGGAAGAAGTACTTTGTACAATTAACCTGTGGAACTCATAGCCAGGGGATGTTGTGAAGGCCAAAAGTACCACTGGGTTCAAAAGCAAACTAGATAAGCTAATGGAGGAGAGGTCCATCAAAACTTGTAGTTTAAGTATTTCAAGTTCAAACAAGGTCTTGGCTGAGAAGTAGAGTTCCTGTAGCTGATGCAGAACCCTGTCCTACGCCTGATGTTAGCAGGGACTCAGAACAGTGCACATACCTGATACAATGAGTTGCTGCAGAGGGCTGGGAGCAGGAAGGAAGGGATTTCAGCTTTTATTCAAATGCTGCTGTTTTGCATGTGAACATTAATATAAGCTGAGATTTTCAAAAACACCTGTGGGTGTCTGGTGCCCAGTTCCCTTGAATTGGACACCTAATTCCCTCCAATTGCTTGAAAAATCTCACCCTTAGTACACAGAAATATAAACATAACCAAGCAAAGGCTAACAAGGCAGAACTATACAGCCATTCTTCACCAGCGTCTTGGAATTTCACCCCAGCGTCTTGGAATTTCACCCCAGCGTCTTGGAATTTCACCTCAAGGTTCAACTATACTTGCTTTTAGTTGCCGTGTGAGACTTTCTTAAGGGAATTAATAGCTGAAGTTTTATTAATATGATTCTTCTCCATTCTGCTTTGTTGATTTTTATCAGATGTAACTGATTCTTGTTGGGCCCATTCCTTTTGCCTAGACTGAACTTCCAGAAGCCAGTTTAAAAGTTCCTTCCCTGTTTTTGGATAACATCTTAGCCTATTAAAAATCTAAGTTGCTCTTTGCTATTTATGCTCTCTTGGTTTAACTTTGTACCGTTTGCTCAGCTTGGATAATGAAAATAGACTCAGCAGTGTCACTTTCAGTATATTCCACTTCCAGCCAATTTCACTTTCTGGGACTAATGCTTTAGGATGCTGCAGCCTTTGGGTTGCAAATACAGGGCAGATCATGCCTTGTCCTACTGAAAAAACCATGCAATGGGTCAAGTCAAGTCAGAAGTTTTGTGCATTCATGCTCATAGAGCTCCTGAGGTTACATGCTGATAGGGTATAGGGTATAGGTTATGGGAAATAGTTGGTTTTACTACTTGGCTGGGATTAGTGATGTTAGTAAAGTTAAGCACGTTTGTAGGATCAGGGTCTGTGTGATATCACCTGGTGGTTTAGGAGAGAGATCCTTGAGCTCAGGTGATGGAAGCCTGTGGGTTTGGATATTTTTTGTAAGATGAAGGGCAAGGTTTCTAGCCCTTCCTCTGCAGGTGATTGATCTAGCAGTAATGGCTGTTGCCTGCCACACATGAGCATGGTTCGCCCACCAGAGCGGGCAGGGAGCACAAACTTCAATATGTATTAGTGTCCTGGCGCCTTGGAACAGCTGGGTAGAAGGGTCAGGGCTTCTAGGGAGAGCCTAGCCATCTTGGTGGATGGCTGACCTCAGTGCTGCCCTTATCAACCCCTATGGCCCTTCCCCTCTCCGCTGTAGCTGTGCCCCACTCATCTACCCCGAACAGGGACAGCCAGGATAAAGCAGGGGCCATGGGAGTGAATGCTAGAAGTAGGCGTCACGCATATCGAGGGGCGGGAAGGGGAGGAAATCAGCCCCAGGCTCAGTATTGACTGCAGCAGGGGTATTTGTCAGGGACTAAGTGGGTAAGTGATCACGGCTGCCTTGGCCCTACTAAACCTATGTGATAGAAAAATCTGCATAAATGTCAATCTCGGTCTGTAACTTTGACCCTCATGCCATTGTGACCTTCCACGTTCAAGGGACTGGTTGAGGGCCCCTGTCTACAGTATGTAGTGTAGGTACAAGATTCCCTTCATGCCTGCTCCACTCAGCATGCCGTACCCTGGGGGGTTTTTTGGGGGTGGGCACGTTAAGAGGGCCTTATGTGCCAGGGTGAGCGTCACCCCTGAAGTGAGCAGGGAGGTACAGCAGCAGACTGTTAGCACACCCCGTGATGCTGAACACTGTAAAGAAGGTGGGTGTGGAGTGGCTTGGAATGACCCAGTTCTGGAATGAATATCAACCCCCCGAGTGTCTGCTCTTACCTCCATCCCACCCAGAGACTTCACAGACAAAAGGCCCCTGGAAACGGCAGGGTGCTCGCCACACGCTCTTTAACCTCTTTGGCTTTAAAAGTGAGTTCAGCCCTTGATTGAAATATTAAAATCCATCAAGGTTAAAGGGCCAGTGTATAAACTTGCCCCCCCCCCCCCATTTAGGTTTTGTAAAATATTATTCCATAGCTTAAAACCCATGAAATATTTCCTTTAAACTGAAGGAACAAAAACAAGAAAAAAATTGTTGCATAGAATATTCAAATGGAGAATTCATCTAATTTTCAAAACTATCAAAAACCAGTCAGTTGCATTTAGGAATAATTACCTGTGCAAATGTGAAAGACAGGCAGATGGCATAAATGCAACAGGACTAACGAAGCTGGCCTTGGACAAGTAGCCCAGCACCAAGGTGTATGATTGCTGATTGTGTGTGTTGTGTTAGGAAGATGTGAAAGCCCGCAAATAGTCCTCAGCTGTGGATGAAAAGAATAAGAAGAACATCAGACACCCTGCTTTGTTGATCATTTTCTTTCCAGAAAATGTTTTAACACTAACTGGCAGCATGATGAATGACTAATGAATGCACATTATTAAAAAAAAAAAAAAGCTTTAGGAACCTTGTTAATTTAAAAACATTGTTTTTTAAATAGATTAGCCATATTTCTCATCTTTGTGACAGTGCCTTTTTCAGTTAGTCTTTTGATCTACACTGAAACAACAAGGCTTGGATGTTCATCAAAGCAGCTTTAAAGGTTGGGTCTCTAGGAGGAGGACTGTGCCAGGGATTCTTCATCTCTCTCATTAACATTCCCAAGGGAAGAGTCTCCATTCTCTCCTCACACACCCTTGGCTGCTAACATGAATTATTTGTCTGTACAACTAGTGTAGTGCACACGATGTTCCAATTTAACAGCTTTATCACCACTCCCTTCCCCCGACACGTGAATATTTCTGTTATTGTTTTGGTGACGATCTGTGCCTCCCTCCACAGCAGGAAGTACCTGAAGGTGAGTTTGGGCTCACTCTCTGCTCTTGGTTTCAATCTGGAGGCCAGGTCAGATAGGGATGATTTAGGGTTTTCTCAAAATCTTTTCTTCCTGTGATCACTACTTACTCCCTTGCCTATCTTTCACCACCACACCTTTCCAGCATCTAAAGAACTGCTTCTGAGACTAACCGCCTGAACTTGGGGCCAGTAGTCTGAGATCTCAAGTAGGGGTCATGGCTAAGCTTCAGGGAGCGAGTGTCCCCAGCTGCCTCCCAAAGTTGGCGGTCTCATACGGCAGGGAGTTGTCACAGCATTAGCTCACTGGACAGAAGGTTTCTAGATGGATTTTCTATTAAAAATAGGCCAGAAAAGGATCTCCTAGTAGTTCAAGTGTAAGAGTCTAAGTTAACCAGAAAGTGCCCCCTCTCCTCCACCTCTAGACTGACCCCACATTGTGCGAACCAACCTGCCTAGAAGGGCTCTGTGCCAAATACCCAAGGCTTGTACATGTGGTCCCCACCTTGGGGTAACTCTGCTGCCTTGTCAGTCACTATACTCCTCCCGCTCCCTCAGGGCAGGGTACTTGGTAGCCATTTTCCATTTCATGTGCTTTGGTTTCAGGCAGGCTGCGAGGGAGGTTTTCCTGCTGATGCTCCTGGCCACCTCCTGGCTCTTGGCCTTTCTGGGGGGCGAGGCATGTCTGACTAAGGGCTGGATAGGGAAGATTGTCTTGCCCTTTGGAGCCCCCAGCAGCTGCCACACTTCTCCAGAGGTTGAGCTGCTCAGGTATTGCCAAGGCCTCTTTCCACTGCTGTCCCGCACATGGACCTTGGAGTTCAACTTCTGGACCAGCAGCTTCATGATTCTCTGGTGTCCATGGATGGCCGCTAGGTGCAATGGGGTGTAGCCACAGCTGGACTTCACGTTCACATCCAGGGGGGTGCCCGCTTTCTCGGCCCCGCTGACCAAGTCCTGGAGCACTTGATTGGCTCCATGTTTGGCGATCCAGTGGAGTGCGGTGTAGCCTGAAATAAAGTCCCTCTGCAAAGCAAGCTGGGGATCTTCCAGGAAGAGTGCCCGGACCTGCACCCAGGAGCCAGCAGCCACCATGATGATCCAGTTGTGTTCCCTGGGGTCTAGCGGGACAGAGGAGGGCCTGGAGTCCAAAGGTCTTTGCGGGACGGGCAGCACCTCCTCTGCAGGCACACAAGTCTGTCTTTGCACAGAGCCCAAGAACTGGAACATGATGGGAGTGTCCACACCTGGGGAAGCCAATATTGCCCCCTTGGCCATCTTCCTGGATCTCCGGGGGCGCCGGCCTCTCCTCCCCTGGTCCTGGGCCCTCAGCTCATCCTCGGAAGAGGACACCCTGCTGCTCCCCTGGGCACTCTTGCTCCTGAAGGAGTGGCGGGTGCAGGGCGCGGTGCCATTCACCTCCACCACCTGCCCGTTGGCCCTGCCCTTGCTGCGGAGGTAGCGGTGGCTGGGGGCCCCGTTGCTGAGCGGCTGGCAGCGTGAGGCTAGCACCCCTGGGTCCCTGGGCCCTTGGCCTGCTCCCCCGGAGGGACTGGCAGCCCTGTCCCCCACCTCCTGCGGGGAGTCGCTCCCCTCGCTGCCGGTGCCACCCCCGCTGCCCCCTTCGCTCCCGGGGCTCGCCTGCTCCACGAAATCCTCCAGGTCCTGCAGGGCCAGCTGGCAGCGGATGCTCCTGAAGATGGGCGGGGGGCACCTCCAGCCACCCTCGGGGAGCGCCCGGGCCGGGGCCGGGGCCGGGCAGCTGCCGTCGGCCGAGAGAGGAGCGGACCAGCTGTCCCGGGCCGCCTGCCCCGCACCTCGGCTCCCCTCCACCCATTCCTGGGTCCGCTGCTGCCGGAGCCAAGCGGGAGCGCAGGGGCCGGGAGCCCGGGGCGCCCCGGGGAGGGCGAGCGGGGCAGCCCGGCGCAGCTCCGGGCCCGGGGCGCAGCGCTCCGGGGGGGGCCCCTGGCCGCCCGCGGCCCGAGCCGGGGCAGGAGGCGGCTCCGCTCCCTGCCTCCCTGAGTCAGCCTGGGGGAGGCCGGGAGCCCCCCGGCCAGCTCCGCCCGGGCAGGAGCGGGGATGATCCCGGGGGAGGCGGCCGCGGGGGGCCGGGCGCTGCTGCTCCCGGAGCCCGCCGTGCGCCCCGCTCCCCCGGCCTCCCGCGGAGCCCGCTCCGCTCCCTGGCTGGGCGGCTGGAGGAGCCGCCTCCTTCCCCGGGGGCGCACCGGCCAGGCCCTGCCCCTGGCACCGCCCGGGCCCGGGGGGCGGCTCCGCGGCAGGTGGCCTCAGCTTCTCGCCCAGCAGGTCCCGGTACCTTCTCCTCAGCACCACGTACTTGGGGCCGCCGCCCGCCTCCTGCTTCACCGTGGCCACCGAGTTCACGAGGCTCTTGAACTGCTCCCGGCGCTGCTGCACCTGCCCGGCCGCCCCGGGGTCCCGCAGGAAGCGCTTGAAGTGCCCCAGCAAGGCGGCGTTGGTCACTCGCCCGCCGGCCTGGCAGAGGAAATCCAGCAGCTCCTCCTGGCTCAGCTCCCTGGCCATGGCTCTGCCCCCGTCTCTCGGTGCGGGTCACCGACACCCGGGCAGGGCAGCCCCCGGCCGGCCAGCGCAGCAGCGGGGGGCTGTCACCTCGCCCCTGCCCAGCGAGCCCAGCATGGCCCCCGGCCTGCACCCCCTCTCCTGGGCAGCTGCTGGCACCGCAGGGAGACGCTCGCCCTTCTCCTTGAGACCAGTCCCTGGTAAAGTTCCTCCTGGAGTCAGTTTCACCTGCTCGCCTCTGCTCCGCCCAGCCACCCCCCCAGCTCCTCCCCTCTCTCAGGCACGAGCACTCCCCTGCTTTCCCGGGATGAGTCAGGCCGGAGTCACACCGAGTGTGAGCCCAGGAAGGGCAAGAGGCAGAGAAACTCAGCTCTCACCTGCGGGCAAGTGGTTGTTTTTACTTTCACCTTACCTGCCCTCTCCCCTTTCCTTTGATCAGAGCCAGCTCAGGGCTGTCACCGAAAGAAGGTGGGGAGAATTGAAGTGTGTTGCTTTGCCTGGCGTTCAAAGTGGTGTCACAAGTAAGTTCCCTCTGGAGGGGAGGTGGTGGGATCTGGGAGAAACAGATTTTGTAAAACACCCCCCTTCCCCCCGTTTTCCTCCTGAAGTGTGTGGCATTTCTGCAGGGTAAAGGCTGGCTGTCCATTCCATTTTGGAAAAAAATAATCCAGTTTCTTAAGGTAGTATGGCCTGAGTTTAAAACAAAAACCCAACCCATTTATTTTTGAAAAAGGTGTGTGATCTGATGTGTAAACAGAAAACAACACAGCATAAAATTATACGAACAAAACGAAATTGCATTTAAAATGTGCTCTGAGGGGTTTTCTGCTCCTCTGATGAAGTTCCAGGGCCTGATCTAGAGGTTTTTAAAGTCAAATGGGCTTCAGAGCGAGCACTAGGTATGCATAAGGGTTTTTCCATGAGAAACTGATTAAGGCCCTCAGGCAAACATTTAGGTGTGGGAGTAACTTTGCACAGCTGAGTAGCTCATGAGTGCCAGTTACTCGGGTGCCTAGGTATTGGCAGAATCAGGGCTTAAAACCTTGCTCCTAGCATGGGCACTGCTAGCATGTTTCCCCAGTACCCAGGCTGAGGCCCACGCATCCTTATTCTATCCCACTGATAGATATCAGAGGGTGAAGCATGGGCCCATGCTAGCAGACCCAGTTCTAGGATTAGAGTGTAACTGATGGGCATCACAGGGAAAATAGAGCAAACTAAAATAAAGTTAAAACCTTGAAACATCAGAGTAAAACACATTTATTTCTGTAACTCCTGACAGTTATCGTTCTCTTAAGTGTAACTTACAGGTATGCAATTTTCACACAGAAATGTGATTTTCAACGGGATGGATTTAATCTGAAAAATTTATGTGTTTGAGATGGAAGGATTGACTGAGGGGAGAACTGGATTTCTATTCTCCTTGTCTCCGTGCTTATATTTTAGTGCCAGATTTCATTGTAAGACACAAGGAGAGAGAGACACTCATTCATAAGTATTTATTATTAAATTCCTTCCTGTTGCGTAAGACACTAGGTGTGTGAAGCACAATGTCTAATGTGTAGGATACTGGCATTCAAGGGAGTATTTCAAGGAAGGCTGACAAATACTATTATTCTGCAATTGACAGTGCACAGGCAGATTGCTGTGAGCCTCATAAAGTTAATGGGGCCCGGCCTGCACTTAGCACTCGAGTTGCATGCTATTAGTTACAAGATTGCGTCCTAGAAGTGCAGTTGGCAGGAAAGGGTTTAAAGTGAACTCCCAGTGCTGCTGGACTAGTTTTATAGAAAACTGACAAATTTCCCCCTGGACCACTACATACAGCTCCAAACATGCTCAACAGCTCTGCAGAGGGACTTCAGGAAAACTGAGGACCCACTTACTGCCCTGCACATACTCCAGAAGGGACTGCCTCAGACAAGAAATCATCACTTTCTCCCACACACTGGAAGAAAAAAAGATCAGGAAACTTGCCTGGAAATCATGCAAGAAACCCAAAACAATTAGGAAAAAAAAACAAACTCATGACAGCCATCCAACCACTAAAACAAAAAGTGGAGCCAACTGCAACTCCACAGCCCATAGAACAGCCTCTCCATCAGAAAACATGGCACCAGGACTCACCACATGGACACTACACAACACCCTGACATCAGCAATTTACCAAAACTACGCCTAAGTGAAGCTGAATTATCCGTGCTCTGCAAGAGACTGAACTTCTGCCGCACCACAGAAACTGATACATACTAATATGTGGAGAACTAGAAGACTTCTTCCACTGACTCTGCCTCAAAGAATTCTTTCCACAACAATGATAACACCACCCACAACTGCTACATTCCCACTGCCTGTCATAAGGAAAAAACATCATCTGACTGCACATCCCACAACAGATGAAACCACACTCTTGGTCATTACACTGATTGGTTCAGAAAAATATTGACTGTGAAATCCTTAACAAACATCACATCCATCACAGTCGCCACGGCCAAGAGGAGAGCTCTACCGCCCCTGAAATTCAACCACCAAATAGTGATCAAACCAGCAGGGGGAGTCATCATAGTCCTCAACCGTGGTGACACCATCTGCTATAAAGAAAGCAAAGACCCCACACAACCAACTCTCTGACACCATCTGCTATAAAGAACGCAAAGACCCCACACCACCATTTTCCCAGGAATTTAAGGATATCATGAAACCCTTCTCCAAACACGTTCTTGAGAAACTCTACAATTTCATCCCCCTTGAACCCCCCCCCCGCCTCCTACGTACTTTCAAAAATATACAAACAAGGGGACCCAGGCAGACCCATCTGGCCACAGCTCTCTTAATGAAGGAAGACTGGGACTCATAGAAACCATCCTCAAACCATTCACCACACAAAGGCCCAGCTTCCTCCAGGACACAACCGACTTCCTCCAGAAACTCTGCAACATTAACATCCTCCCTCAGAACACCGTCCTTGCCACCATGGATGTCACCTCCCTATATGCCAATATCCCTCACAATGACAGCATCGCTGCCTGATTCGAATATCCATAGGATAATGGACCACCCTCAGGTATCCACCCCAAACACTGGGAGGCAGGGGGGAGGCACTGATCGGCAGGGCCCACCAGCGGACAGGAGGTGCTGGGGGAAGGGGGAGGTTCTGGTAGAGGGGCTGCCAGTGCATGCTCAGCACCCACAGGCATCGACTCCATCGGTGCTCCGGGGCTGGAGCACCCATAGGGATATATTAGTGGGTGCTCTGCCAAGCTCCCCTCCCCCCCCCCCCCGCCCAAGTGCACCACGTCCCTGCTCCTCTGCCTACCTCCCAGCGCTTCCTCCTGGGCCGCCACTAAATGGCTGTTTGGCTGCTCCGGGGGGGTGGGGGGGGGAAGAGCGGGAACCTGGCACGCTCAGGGGAGGAGTCGGGGAAGAGGCTGGGGCAGGGATTTGGGGAAGGAGTCGGAATAGGGGCAGGGAGGGGGAGGAGTGGGGCGGGGACTTTGGGGAAGGGGTTGGAATGGGGGCAGGGCAGGGCAGGGCCTCATGGAAGGGATGGAGTCAGGGCAGGGCCGGGGGCAGAGTGGGGTTGAGCACCCACCGGCGGGAGCAGAAGTCAGCGCCTATGGCTCCAGCCCCAGAACACCCATGGAGTCAGCACCCATGTGCTGACATATCTCCATTGCAACAATAATCAACACCCCCCCCCAACACACCTTTCAAGATCCCTGGGTCCTACACATGCCTAGCACAGCATGTGGTGTATCTCAGCCAGTGCACTAAATGCCCGAATAACAACTATGGGAATGAAACTAGACAATCACTACACCTTCAGATGAACTCACACAGGAAAATGATACAAGACAAAAACACCCTATCATCTGTGGGTGAACACTTTTCATGAAGCAATCACTCTGTATGTGAGCTCTCAGTCCTCAGCCTCAAAGGAAACCTGCACAACACCTTCAAAAGAGGAGTCTGGGAGCTTAAATTCAAAATTTTGGTAGGAACTAAAAAATCATGGAGTGAATAGAGACACTGGATTTATGGCTAATTGCAACACTCTATAACCCACTTACACCCCCCTTCCAGCTTTTTTTCCCTTCCCCCCTCCTCCCCCCATGACTGGAGAAGTGTTAATGGGCCACTTCATCTTGAATGGTACTTTGAAATAATCTTGACTTTCGCTAAACAATGGTCCCTTAAAATAAACGACTTTTGCTAAACAATCTGTTCCACCTTGTGTTTAGCTAAGACACTCTGAGTATATTTCCCAGACCTGAAGAAGAGCTCTGTGGAAGCTGCTCCTCTCACCAACAGAAGTTGGTCCAATACAAAGATACACCTCACCCACCTTGTCTCTCTAATATCCTGGGACCAACAGGACTACAACACTGCATACAAAGTTCCCCTAAGTCACCTCTAGTCTATTCAATACTTTTGATAATGACATTTTACCCTATTTTTTTAAGGACTGGCAAGCATCTGCTTATGAGAATAATCTACAGAACATCTGTCTACTGCAGAGGTGGGCAAACTGCGGCCTGGGGGCCACATCCAGCCCTCCAGACATTTTAATCCAGTCCTCGAGCTCCAGCCAGGAAGCATGTGGCTCCCGGAAGCAGCGGCATGTCCCCCTTCTGGCCCCTACATGTAGGGGCAGCTAGGGGGCTCCACACACTTTCCTGCTCCCACAGCTCCCTTTGGCCAGGAACTGTGGCCAATGAGAGCTACGGGTCAGCACCTGTGGACAGGGCAGCGTGCAGAGTCGTCTGGCCATGCCTCTGCATAGAAGCCAGAGGGGAACATGCCACTGCTTCTGGGAGTTGCTTGAGGTAAGCGCCACCCGAAGCCTGCACCCCTGACCTCCTCCTGCACCCCAACCCCCTCCCGCCCTCCAAACCCCTCAGTCCCATCCACACCACAGAGCCTGCACCCCCATCCAGAGCCCTCACCACCACCCCCGCACCCCAACCCCTGCCCCAGTCCAGAGCCCCCTCCTGCACCCTGAACTCCTCATTTCTGGCCCCACCCCAGAGCCTGCACCCCCAGATGGAGCCCTCACCCCCTCCCACACCCCAACCCCCAATTTTGTGAGCATTCATGGCCTGCCATATAATTTCCATTCCCAGATGTGGCTCTCAGGCCAAAAAGTTTGCCCACCCCTGCCTTAGCCTAGCTGCAACTCAGCATAACAACTAACAGGGTG